AATCCAAATCAAACTGCATATGTGTTAGGTAAAGTACAGGCACATGATAGGGAAAGAACTTAGAGCAGCTGGAGTGCCTACAGAAATACAATGTGCTTTGAATATGTAGCTTTGAGTAATTTTCCTTGATAAACCAATTAACAAGTACAATGCTTTTTACTCATTTGTTTAATTGGATTCTCTTTATTTAATTTACAACTTGTATGGAGAACAGATCACATATGTTATGTTTATGCAGACATATAGATAACTCAAGAGTTCACAAACTTTTAAACACTACTGTGTTTAACTGATCATTTAAAAAAATAAGTGCCCACTTCTCTACTCTTATTAACATTAAAATCCAGAATTTTCAAACATTGAACTCAGAAGTAGGCAAACTCTTTTTTAAACTATCAATTACCTAGATTTATCTTGTTGGAAGCTTAACTGGTAGGGTAGAACTAATCTTTAATGAATGAATCTATTTTTCTTTTCTTTTTTTCATTCTGAACTGGAGGAATATGTCTTTTTGAATTATTTAGAACTTGCAAAAAGAAAAGGAAACCAAATACAGGGGATTGTTAATTGAAGTAATTAAAACATTGTCAAAAAAAGACAGTCCCCAAAGTATTGACATTAAATTTACGACCAACTTCCTGACTATTTATAGCTGATAAATTAACACATTTCCAAAAGCAGAACACTTTTTAAAGAGTTAAATTTCAATTTATGAAAGGACATTCTGAATGAATTATTTAGTTTTCCGCTCAGATGTTAGCTACGCACTATTGCTGAAAATTTTATCGGAATCTTAAATAATTATGTAAAATATTTGAATGTTCCATTGTTTTCTAAATATACAAGTGATCCTTGCTTGTTGAATCTAATTGGTACCGAAAACTGCTTCATTAAGTGAAGAGAATGTTAAGTTGACAAACAATATGACTATGTCACTTAGCAATAGCAAGCCAGCAGTCTCAGTTGCTATGATTAAACAAAGACCACATGGGTCATTAATCGAGGACTTCATTTGACCACAACTTCCTGTCAGCTTCCCCATTGGCATTGCTTATGGGAACTTGGCACAGAAGTAACAGTGTGACGACATGACTGCAGGAAGCTGCAACATCCTAAGTATGAGGTCTGGTTATAAAGATCACTTGTTCAGTGCTGTAGTAAGTGTGTATGATCACTGAACAAACAGAGACCATCTGTATTTCTGTTATTTAGATTTGCTTTTTCTTGAGGCATAGACAGCAGTACCTCATGTAAAGTGAGAAAACTCCCAAAAATGATGTGATTTCAGATCTACTGGTCATAGCATTATCACATTTCAAGTGTACATTTACTGTTGTTTTAAGAATAAAATCAATCAATAGATTGAGAACTAGTTTGATATAGTAGTTAGTGTAGTAGTAGTAATAAGGCATAAGGCTAGAAAGCAGGAGAGCATGAAGCCTCATCTTGCTTTAGGCATGAAGCAAACTGGTTGACTTTGGGCCAGTTATTCTCTTTCAGCCCTGGGAAGGAGGCAGTGACAAACCACTTCCAAAAATCTTGCCAAAAAAGATGCCCAAGCTGTCACCAAAAGTCAATATTAGCTGAATAAACCCATAGATCAGAATTATGATATTGTCCAATGCATAAGGTTTTGGGTTTGTTCTCAGCATCGTTAAGTGCCTTAACATTTATCAAGCGTACTTGGAGTGCTCAGTCCTACTGCGGAAAATTATTTTTCCCTTTGATCTGACAGGAAATCTGTTTACTGCCACAACTTAACAGCTTTGTTTCATCTTTCTTTCTACCTAGAGCAAAACTCTAGATATTAAACATTTGTTCTTGGAAAAGGAAAAGTGAATCTGTCTTAACTAATTTCAGGTTACAATGACAAGTGAACTAAGAAAAATATTCTTTTAATCATTAATTTAGAGGAAAGCATATGGCCACGTTGTACCGTTCCTGAGCTTGAAAATAGATTATTTGAACGTAAATGCTTAGCTTTTCAAGGATGTAAACAAATGTTCACTGTATAGTAACTTTATGAATGACTATGAGAGTTCAGTGAGACTTCCATCCAAGTTTGCAATATCTGAAGTGTCAAAAGTAGCTGGAAGATATCCAGTAGTACAATTATGCATATGATATGAATATCGTAAACTGAATTATCAGTAGCAGCCTATCAGTTCATGGGAACCCTTTATCAAGTTGTTTCTGTCTGTCAATCTATCTAAATATAGATATAGAGAATATACACATTATATATAATTAGCAGGTTAAAAGATCTGATAAAATGAGAATGATAAAGCAATGAGGGAAGCATTTACAAATCAATTTATACTTTAGGAGTGATTTAATGTAACATACATAATGTCTACTTCACATGCAGATTTATAAATGTATTTTCCATTAATATGCACTGCTAGTAAAATTGATTGACTTATATACAGTATAGACACCGTCTATTTTTAAAATCCAGGAATAGTTCCATACATTTCAGCTTAACTTTTTTAACATATTAACTTTTTTGACAATATTTTTGATAATGAAATCCTGAATACTGTTCTACAACAAAATCATACAAACATCAGCTATTTCATCTCAACTTATGAATCTGGCATTCTGGAGTCTATTACAGGCATTTTTATCTATTAGTAAGGTCCATTGAACACAATATTGGTGGCCCACTCTCATGGCTTTTTGGAAGAGTTTTAAGACTTGATTCTGATGTAAGCTTCCCTAATAGAGATGCTAGAACTTGCAGATGGCAATCATATTCCATAGACTCTAGAGAAATGATGCAATTGTGGTACTAACAGCCATGCAATATTAAGAGAATTTCCTTTTTCTTTAATCTTAATATTTTCTCATATCTGTATGTCTGCCTTATTTATATGGCCACCCATCTCACAACAAGCGACTCTAGGCAGTGTATATATTGTCTGCATCTTTTCAGATAAATGTTCGCTGTCAGAATTAGTCTAATATATCTCCGTAAGTGGTTCATGATAAAAAATGAAGGTGATAATACTATGCCTGCTACCTTGAGTTCCTAGAGAAAAGGTTGAATCAAATATAGCAAATAAATGAAAATTGAAACATTTTTGGTTTTGTTTTAAATCAATACGGTATATTGTTAAATGTACGAAATGTGAAGATGTGTAAAAACATCTCCTGATTGGACTATTGCAACGCACCTTACATGAGGCTGTTGAAAAGTATGCAGAAGCAGCTGCTCAAGCCATATTGGCTACCTAAAGAACGGTACATATAAACATCTTTGCTCTGCTAACCGTGGAGGGTTCTAGTTTGCTTCCAGGCACAATTTATAGGTGTTAGTCACCACCCATAAAGTCCTACATGGCATAGCACCAGGCCAGCTATAGAACTGACTTTGCCCTATCACAGCAGCCTATCCTACTTGTTCTGGCAGGGAAGATATTCTGCAGACCCTGTCTGGTGGGGGTCTAGGAAGAGAGCCTTCTCTACCACTGCCTGCACATTATGGAATATCCTAGCCCCAGATGTGAGGAAAGCACTTCACAAAGCATCAAAACTTGCCTATGTGCCTTGTATGTGCCTACTAAGGCTAACAACTGTGGGGTTGGCTGGCCCAAAGGGACTCCCTCTACCTATATTAACTGCTAAACCTCCCCCCGCCCAAATCATGGAATCTTTCACCCCTTGAAATTTTATGTAATTTTTATAACTTTAAAACTTTTTAATCTTAAATTCTGATTTTAATATTAATTTTACTGATTATATTGTACACTGCCCAGAGCTCCTCTCTCAGATTGGTGGTTAAGAAATATGAAATATAAATAAATGTTACTGTTTAGAGACAGACAAGACAGACAGAGACGAACACAATTCAAAGTGCACTGAAGATGTCTCTCGGAATGGTGATGTAATGTTTACAAATTGCCAAGCTCAGGGCTCAGAACAAGATAGATAGATAGATGGGTGGATGGATGGATAGATAGATAACAGATGTTATTGGGATCTTTTCTTTTTCATAAGAGTTGTTGCTGTCAGTAAAACTGTAAACAAGGTAGTTGTATCAGAATAATACAAACATACGGTATTACTTCTACTTCTATAAGATAAGACGACCACAAACCACATAGTTGAAAAAAGACAGAGTAAGTTGTTCATTTGATTTCAGTTTTTCTGAGACTGAAGAAACTACCATAGGTGCAACCCCTTCCTGCTACTAAAATTACATGGACTGTTGCTGAAATCACCAGGCATGAAACACATCTCCTATATTCAGACAGTTGTCTTTGTAAATGTTGTATTTAGGCAGGAATAGACTTAAAAAAAAAAGACAGAATGCATAATTAAAAAAAATCAAATCTCATACCTTACGCTAATAGAACAGCCATAAACATGCTTACTACAGAGGCAAAGACCACTCTGTTGCTAAGTTTTGTTCCACAGAAATAAAATTTGGCATTGTTGTTCCTGTTCTTAAGAAAAACGTGGATTTTGTATACAGAGAGGCCATAATGTCTGCACATTAGGCCAAGAATTTTTTTTCCTTAATGCTTTACTTTTTGCAGCAGGAAAAAGTAATGCATCTTAATTTGAAAGAAACTATTTGCCAAGTTGTAAAGGTCAAGGAGTGGCAGTTTATTCTGAGTCAGGATATTACTCGGGACCTGTTTTTTGAGTGCTAAAGGTGATTCTGAGGAAACCATAAAACGCTGTGTAAGCGTTGAGGCGGAGGTCAGCACTTAACGAAACACGGGTTCTGTGCAAAGTAATTTGGAAGTATATTTGTCCTTGGGTGTTGCCAAGAGTGACACGGGGAAAAAAAGTAGGGAGTCCCCCACCCCTCCTCATCTTAGACAGCCTGTCTCTCTGCTTCTGACCGAAGGATCTCCAAATCCTCTCGCCCCCCCCCCCCCCCCCCCCCCCCCTCCCCCCCCCGTCCCCCCTCCCCCCCCCGGAGGATCCCCACCCCCCCCCCCCCCCCCCCCCCAGAGCTACGTGCGGAAAGCGCCGTCCTCCTTGGCCTCTTGAAAAGCTCGTTTCCCGCGTCTCCTCCGAGGCGCCTCTCTTCAATGGGAGCCCAAACCCTAGGGCAGAAAGGGGAGGGGGGGAAAGCAAGGAGAAGCGGCTGCTCCAGTCACCCTCCCTCAGTCTCCGGGACCAACGAAGCCCGCCCTTTCAGGGTTGAGCTCCGCCCTCTTTGGCCCGTTATAGTGCGTGAGGGGGCGGGAGCGCCTGAGAGTCGCGGGCTGTTGAGCGCCTAGGGGGTAGAAAGAAGCGCCGCGTGTCTGGGTCGCTGCTTGCAACAGGTATGGCTTGGTTTGGCTGACCGGTTTAGCCGGCCAAGCGGGCGGCTTCGTGGAGAGTCCCAGATTCTCCTAGTAGATTGCCCGGAGGAGCCTGCTCAGCTCCACGTGGCGACAGAGGACCAGAAGAAATCCCCAAAGGCGGTGGGGAATTTCTCCCATGAGAGACTTGGGACTTTTTGGCTTTCCCCTTCAATAGAACAATGAAGGGAGATGGAGGAAGATGGAGAAATAAGGGGAAAGGGCCGGAAGGGAGGGGATGCAGGCAAGGGCCGTGGGAGGCGCGTTTCACCTCCTTCGCCGCCGTTTAAATAAATAATAAACGAATTGTCTTTTTCCTTACTAATAAGGTCAGCCAACGCGGAGGCCTGGGGTGGTCGGCCATCGTGCCACGAGGACTCACTCCTTTAATGATGCTTTTTAATGGCTGGGTATTTGGGTTTGGGCCACTTCATCCTAGATTGCTTTTTTCTGTAACTAATAACGATTCTAATTGTGGGGGCCTGGGGAAGATCGGATCCGTCTTCTGCTTTTAAATCCAGTACATGTTAGAGGGAGGTGAGGGGGGGGATGTAAAGTAGGCTTTGGATTTATGAGGTGAACGGATGCTCATTTCAAAAAGCTTCGGTTGTGTGGGGTTCGTCTGTGCGACGAATCTTGTGGGTTTGCAAGCCGCTTAAGTTACAGGCTCCGCGATTTCCTTGCTTGCACGTGTGCCTCTTAATATTTAAATAATTCATTTCCCATATAAAGGGAAATGCCGGATGATTTGTCAGTTTTTCTTTATACTGGAATTGTTTTGTGTTAGTATGTTGTTCTGAAGTATTTTAGGATCCCGTTCTCCCAAGATTTTATGGATAATGCAGACATCCATATTTAAAGTGCTTGCAGAAATTTGCTAAATGAGCTGCTGTGATCTTATTAACATTAAGGTAATAGGAGACAATAAATGGAAGTAATGTATCCATCCGGCTGATGAGCAGTGTGTTTGAAGCAGCACTAAAGTCTAGCCAGTGTTTACATAGTGTGGAATGTAGAAGTATAATGGTACTTGCGATAAGGGGTGAATGAAAGTCTTAATAGGTACGTGAACAGTTCACAAAATTTGGAACAAACATTGCTTTTTGAATTCATTGTGTCGTTAATTTTGGAAAAAGAACAAAATTTATGGCAGTAAATATCTGCCTTTTTCTTGGGGGAGGACATAAGTATTACGAATGAGATGGGTGAAAAGAACTCTTATTGTTTACTGTGTCTTTTTTTTAACAAAGATCTTTAAAGGGTGCTGATATACAAGATGCTGAAATGAACTCCAGTATAGAATCAATTACACTTTTATTTTCTTTAATCCCAAATATGCTCTCTAGTTAAAACTCTGAATACATAACAGTTTCATTCTGAGCTTCCTGATTTTTTTTCAAATTAAGACTTTCAGTTACATTTCCGAGTACATTGCAACAAACTAATATTTGAATTGCAAGAACTGAAATAGATTTCTAAAATAGATATGTAGATAATTTGCCTAATCCAGAGTCTATGTAAGCCTTGGTTCTGTATAATGAAACTACTATGTATTTCTAGGATTTCCATGTTACTAGTTTCTGAAATGTTTTTAGCAAGGTAGCAAAAGATAATAAATTTGCAATAGTATGGGAATGTTAATCTTCTAAGTATTAGAATGGGTTTCCACTTATATCATTCTTCCTTGTCTTACTCAGAAAAGAAAAGAAGTTTTTGTGAATTGTATTTCATGTCTATTGTTAATGCAGGTGTGCCCTTTTGTGGTATAATGATTATCTAACGACTTTGTTTATTTTTAGAACCAACACTTATCATGTGTGACTTAGTTGAGGCTACAGTTGAGTTGAGGCTCTTCTATAAAAATGATATCAGTTGCAAGTAAAGTATCACTGCAAAAAAGTTGCTGGGATTGTAGTGAATAAAATTGCTTTTTGTCTGTTAAATTTTGATACTCTTTAGAATAATAGTCATTATAGACTATATTTAGATCTTAAGTACTTATTTTAAAAAATATACAAATGTGATCGTGTATTTTGTATTCAAGTAATATGTTTACTTAAGTTTTTTTCTTTCAGAAAATCTTGACTAGGTTTTTTTTCTATAAGAGTGGAGGATTTAATTGGAGGAAAACTATATAGTTTGACAAAATTGAATACTGTAAAATTTCCTTATGTGAAGGCTTATATTTGGAAATTTTCTGGTTCAACAAAATAACTACTGCATATTGTAAATCGTCACTGACTTTAAGCCACTTAAGAAATGGCATGTATTTTTCTTTCTCCATATGCTTTAATGAATTTCTATGATCAAGAACATGTTGGAAGATATGAGGAGTAGCAATGCCATTTCTAGTTGAACAGAAAGGAAATAAAGTTTTCAAATATGAAAGCACTTGAAGTATTAAAATTGCATAATGCTTGCATCTGGCAATTTTTACAAATTTCAGATATCTATACCATTAGATTACACTATTTAGTGTCATTTATCTAAAATGGACAATATTTTGGGAAGGAATGATGAAACTGGTAAAGAAAAAAAAGCAGCTTTACTTAGCTTTTATAAGCTTTCATCTACATTCCCAGTACTGTTTATAATTTTGTGGCTACAAATGTGCCTCTGCGAAAAAATGTTTCATTTTTTAATTCAGCTTGAGTCCAGTCTAGTCCAGTCCTTTTTTTGCATGTTTACTTAGAAGACTTAACTACATTTTAACAGAACTTGTTTACATGTAAAGGCCCAGTTACGTAGCTATTTGTAGCCAGTTTTGATTGATATTAGAAATAGCACACTGCTACTTCTTGGCTTGGAAACCACCAGAAAATCTGAAGGCTGTAGTCAAAATTGCGGGGAAAAAATGGAAAAAGAACGGACAAACTATAAATTCTCAAGAAAACTAAATGGTGTATCTATGAAATCGTCAGATACCAAGTTTGCTTCAACAAATTTAATGTATGTACATTACAGAGTATATGCAAATCAGGTATAGCTTTTAGAAATGAAGCATGCTCATTCAAACTAGCTCAATATAGGAGTGAATCTGAATTGCATGTTACTTTGGATTTTTGAATCATATCCTTTAAGGGCATGTATACTTGCTTTTGTATGTAAAATATCAGCAGGTATTCAAATAAAACTATTTCTGATTTATTTGCATTACTGTTGGTAATACCATGAAAAATTTAATATCCTGGCAATTTTGCAATATTTGGCAAAATTATTTGAAGTTTGTTATTAAAAAGGATGTTGACTTCAATGTTCTTTATCATATAACTTCTCAGCTTTTGTTATGTGGTCATGGGGATGGTGCAATGGTCAAAAATGGCCATGTCACTTTTTTTTTAGTGCTGTTGTAATTTTAAATGTTTACTAAATAAACTGTTGGAAGGCAAGGACTACCTGTAATAGTTTAGTTGTGATAGCTGATAGCTGTGCATTAGTGGAAGCAAATGTTTCACTCTATGCCATTTCCCCCCCTCCCCCAATCTTTTGGGCACCAGGGACCTTTCTGTGGAGAAGGGTTTTTCCGCAGACCAGACGGGGCATGGTTTTGCCTGCTGCTTGCATTCCGCAAATAGGCTTTGCTTGTTTGCATGGCCCAGTTGCTGGCATGTCATGGCCCAAAGCTAGTCCATGGACAGGAAGTTGGGGACCCCTGCTCTATGCAGAACATTGCCAGAAAACTTTAATGAGATGTCTATAGTGATCAGGCATAAGAGAGTACTAACTAGAAAGTCAGAATTTGGATCAGGCTTATAAAGGAATGTTCATTGCTTGATATTAAGATGCTTCCTTTTCTGAAGGAAGAAAAAAATCAGGAAGTATACTCCCAAACAGAAAATGTGTACATAACATGTCGGAGATACATGAATATTTCATCATTTTCTTGGCTATTATGAGTTCAAGGGGTGAAGAGCGAATGAGAGATTAATTCTCATGCTGCTTTTCTGGCAATTTTTTTTTTCCAAACATTGCAAATACTTTTGGCAATTGACATTTTGAGAATCAATTCAAAAAGCTACTTGAGTCTTTTATAATTAGCACTATTGCAGAAGAATACTATAAAATTAGTTAGATTAGAAAGACAGTTCAGGAAATGTAAGAGCATGTTTTGATTAGTTCCTTTGCAATGCCAGTACATTGGAAAAGATGTTGGGACAGTGAAGAAAGAACTCAACAAGTTATTTTCAGTTCTACTTGGACTGCTGTTGTGCACTTCTGAGCCACTGTGCAAAGATACACTGAATGCTTAAACTTAAGTACTTAAATATGTTGAATTTTGTCTCCTTCATAAATTCAAATCTACACAGTGGTCAGGGTGGGGATCTGCATTCTGACAATCAGGACCTGTATTCTAAAAATTCTTCATAATTCTGCTCAAGATTTCCATGTTGTATGCTTCTGTTCTGCTTGCTTCCTGTTCCTCAATGTCATGTGTCTAAGCTAATTTATTTGAGGGTTGTAAAGAATGTTTGTGAATAAGTAATAGCACAAGACCAGATCACAGAATCATATTAAGTGAGCAAGGTTCCTTGTTTTGTAAGTTATTTTGCAGTGTAGGCTTGACATATCTTTGTATTCAATATTGAAGCCTGCTATTAAAATCCATTTCTATCCATATTATTTAAGTATACTCATATTGTATACTGCTGACAATATTTAGGCTATATCCTACAATGTAGTAACTACTATATTTAGATGATGGTCTACTAATTTGCTAATGTTCTGAATTTGAGACAAAATGTCATTTTATGCATTCTATTTCCATAAAAAATTTGCTGATTGGAAAGCCTAATTTCAAATGATTGAATGACCAATTAAATGAGTTACTTGATAAGTTCTATCATGTCCAAGAATAGATAATCCTGGAACTGGCAACCTATGTCAAATAATGAACTGAACTAGTGTTCAGTTTGAACTATTAGAATTTAGATCTTATTGGATAGAAAAATAGCTTGTTGATTAAATATATGTTGATATTCTAC